GGCACAAGTGACGCGCTGTGTGTCCCAGGAACATTTGCCTCTTGGTCAGCATCATTTAAAAAAAAAAAAAATCTCTTCATAGTCAATTTGATTTCGCTCAAGGGTGAAATCTGCACCAGTGTTTATCATCTGCCTCGGTTGTGCTGGGCGCAGTTTGCTGACCGGCGCCTGATGATTAACCCGTGAGCAGCGCTCCGCGGGGCATGCTCAGCGTGGGTGCAGGGGTCGGGGTGAGGAGGAGACCCCAGCAGGGAGGCACTGATGGGTCACCCCATCTCCCCTACCGTACACACAGGAGATAGCTCGGCTCAGCCTGGAATTTAGCTCTGGGGCCACGAATGATTAAAATATTTATGAATCCCACTGCTGAGACAGAGCAGGTAAAATGTCATTTAAGAAAAGCTATTAGAATCCGTCTGTCTGCAGGGAAGCATCATTTGTCATCTCATGTCCAGGCATTTTTCAGAGGTGGTATAGCACTTTGGCCAAAATACGCTCGTGCCTCATATGGGAGCTGTCAGGGAGCAGGGGGGCTGTGGGGCTCCCCTGCGTGCACGCACCCAACTCCCTCGGTTTCTTTGAAAAATCTTAACGGATAAGGGATGAGCCCAACATTTTTGGTATGATACTCATTTTCAGAGGGAAGCCTGAAAATACTATTACCAACTAATTTTTCCTCTGAGAAATGTTTTATTGGAGGGCATTTAGAATTTAAAAAGGCAGCTATACTCATAAAAAACTAAAATTGTATTAAAGAAGGACACAACAATAAAAATGTCAGAAAATAAACTAGTAGCTAAATGTAACAAATGGGATGCCCCCCAATCAACTATTAAAATTTCATATAAAAATGCTAAGATCTTCATACTGAGGATGTATGGCATTGACGAATGATGGGACAATCAGCACCAGATATTAATACTACAATACAGATTATTGCTGCAGTTAGAAAATTCCAGGAGGAAAAGCTCTTGCATTTAGCAGCAGGAGGGTATAAAAAGTAATCCTGAAAAAGAATAGTTAAGTCAGGGAGAGCATAAGCTAAGTAGCCCACCCATTCGCATATTTTGATTAAAATCTGGCTTAAAACTAGTAGACAGAGGACTAAACACTTATGGCATAATATGAGAAGAACCTTTTTCAGAAAAGGATGAAACAATACATGGTATTTTTTACTTGGTAGTTCTTCATCTGTCTGCAATTTTAAATGTGCAACTCGAGATATCGTCAGGAGCAGAGCATAGGCAGGTGCAAGGAGTGTTTCACGCGGCTGCCCCTTTCAGCAGCACATCAGATTCAGCCAGGAGTAATTCAGGGCTAGAGCCCAATTTGCTTACTCAAATTGAGAGAATATACAGATTGGAAATGATTTACCTGATCAGGTCAGGCAATTGCAATATGAATTCGTGCAACAGGAGCACAAACTTTCTCCAAGTCCTGGCCATCACTGAGGCTCTGTTGTGGGCCACGGTTAAGGAGATTTGATCAGTCATTGGGCAAGTATCACACAATAACAAAAAAAACCCCTGACAAGTAGGGGCACAGCCCTGTGGGCTGGATTTGCATCTAAATTCATCCTTGTCTCCTTGATGTGCTGGGCAGGGAGCACAGCAAGCTGCAGAGCCACTGGGTACCCGCCGTGGTGCTCCCTGCCCTCTCCAGCCCCCCTCCACAGAGGGGATGAAGCTGCAACTTTGCCAAGTGCATCCCCTCTCCAGTGAAGAGCAACGGGGAAACCCTAAAACGTGTGTGAGCATGCCTCCTCCTTGGCCCCCAGGGCACCTGGGGAGAAAGCCCTGTGCTCCCTCTCCCCTGCCACGCTGGCAGAGGTACCTGCCCTCCTCCACAGCTCTACGCTTGATAATGCAAATACGCTCCTGTCTCGGGTAGCTGAGAAATGGACTATAAAGAGAAACACATGGGAAAACAGGAGAGACAGCACAGACCAAGGAATGTGTTTTTTTTCCCAGGCTGACCTAGTTATTTAACTAACTGGCAGAGATACTCACTAATGATGAAGTAGGAAAGCAATGAGTCTGCCAGCAGCAGTTTCACAGAGGATGCTCGAGTTTGCTTAGCTATTTGTCTTAAACCCAGGAAACATCAAATAGTCTCTTCCATCTTGCTGCTCAACACTTTGCTATACAGTCACTATTCCCAGTTCAAATAAACTTCAAATTCCTCAAAGATCGCCAAAGGATGTGATAAGACTCGAATCCAGAGGAACACTCAGGAAGCACTCCAATACATTTTCTTATATAACACAGACAAGCGCAGGCCTCATTTTTGTTTTCACTTCTGCTGCTGCCGTACTCTAGTAATCTGAGAAGCTATAGATGAAGAGATTTTTCATCCCTCCTAATTCACAGCGAAGACTATAGTCCCCAAAGGATAACAACCAGCTCAACTCTTCTGCGTGGCAGCAAGGAGCCAACGTACCTGTGAATGTCTGGCCAACTGGGCAAGTCTTTCACGAAAACACATGCCTCTGTCACTACTGTTGTCAACTCTTCCACCAGCTCTGCCCTTCATGAGAAAATCTTGGATGTGGAGTTTGGCAAATAATACCCAAAATAAGTCATCATCTTCATTCTGTCCCCGGTCTTGTACTAGAAACTGCCCTTTCTCCAGGGATGTCACCTCCCGAGGGTTTGAAAGCTGCAGTTCCTGTGCTCACATGGTTACGCAAGAATTTCAGCTTGTTTGAAATGCAGGAATGAACCTAAGAAAACTCAAGTTTCTTACCCTCAGCATTGGAGAGAAAAGTTTGGAAATGGGACCCTGCTATCTAAGTGGAAAGGTTGATGAAGAGAAAGCTAGTTGGCAGAAAAAACTCTATTTCTAGTGGCGAGGCTTAGATGACCCAACCTGGGATATTCCTGACCAGCTAATACAAAGTGGATTTAAAAAAAAATAAATAAGAGAAGTAGGACTATGTGGGAAGGTGCATAAAGAGCATACATCCCATCTCCATCCCTTGCCACACACACAGATTTCACTTTCTCCCAGCTTGCCTATATCTGACTTTTTCCAAACTTAAAAAAACAAGGAACAAAAGAGCTGAAAGCCAAAATAAAATTTTTCATTGACCCAGAAGATTGTATTTTGCTCCCATTTGGAATACCAGGACATTTAGATATTCCGGTTTGTCCAGACATGGCTTTCCAGCAATCCACAGAACTGGGATAGTTTGCACAGACCTGGGCTAGTCCTACTGACAGGTGGAAAAAGAGGTAAAGAGGCAGGCAGGTATTAAATCGCACAGTTTTAATCTTTTTCTTAAACTTGTGATACTGACCTTTAAAGACACGTGTCTGTAGAAGTGTCGTACTCCACTGTACATTAAAACAATCCTCATAAAAGTGTCGGAAAACAGTAAGAATATGACCAATCAGGTCAAGCACAGGAATAGTTATTTATCTTTAATAGTTTTCTTCTTAGGTATTTTGCAGTGACATTTTACTATTAACATACTCTGAAAACATGCATTGTATGCAATAACTTTATTAGGGTCAAATAGATATCACAATATAGATTCATCCACCGAGTAGCCATAAATTGGTTACAACAATCATAGAAGAGACTAAGCTGTTTTAAGCTAAGATGCTTTCAACATTACAGCTCATACAATAAGATTATATACTGATACACTTTGATTTAGAAATGCAGATGATCAGTTTTGAGTAGTGTATTGTGCTTCAGGCTTTCGGTTGTGGCAATGCATCTCATATGCTGTTGTGAGGAAGGGCCAAATTCCCCAGGGGGAAATCCGAACGGGCTACAAATCTGGCTCTGGCTGTTTTAGGACGAGTTCCTCTGAGCCTGGGTTTTTTGGTCAATCCAGTTACATTCTCCAGTAGCACCAAGCTAGCGCTCAGAGCAGTGACAGAACAGAGGGATATCTAACAATCTTGGAACAGCGTGGATGGAAAGGTTTTCATATTATAAGAGGGAATAAAGGAATATTTATGCTTTTTTAGGTCACAAAAATACATGCGGTTTTCATGGTTTGCTGTATTAAGCAACAGGGCGTTTTCACATAGTTTTGTATACTGATATCTGCACCTCTGTTATCTTAGTTAAATAAATACCTTTGTAAACATATAACACAGTTACTTGGTCCTTATTTTCCACAGCTCACGTTAAAAGATTCACAAAACATCCATAGAAATAGTGATTTATAGAATGAATACTTAGCTGAGTTAAATGGAATAAACATTGGTCAGGTACCATATATACTACTGAATGCCATTTCAAGGAAAACCATTTTAGTTACAAAGCATTCAGAACTTGGGTAAGCCATATATTCAACTCTGCAAAATATATAAAAGATGCATACTTCTTTCAAACGTACATTTAACAAAATGTAGTCGCAGAAGTTGAGAAGTTCCATTTACACAGTCCAGACATTTGGTAGTATGAAACTGCTTATCCATGCACTAAGTTACGGATGACTCAGTTAACTGAAATAATAATAAAAACTTCTGAAACAAAAAGATATAACCAAAACAAATGCTCTGAAGAGTCACAGACAGGCAGTTTTGAAAATCCAGGTGCAATGTTACATGCATGGATATACAGAATAATCCGTAGAAATAATAGTAAAACACTTTTGTTTTTCACCAAAATGCAGAAGGAAGTTCAATTATATTAGGCATATTAAATACTACAGACTTGAGGCTACAAAATGCTTCTACCGCCTTAACACATACAAAACTACCATAAAGTTATCTCTACAGTACATACTACAACACTGACTCCAGGTCACCACCTGCGATGAGGACTTCCCCTGTATCTGGCTAAGGGAAAAAAAGGCCAACTCCAGCCCTCTGGCCACCTCCCATCTGTCTCAGGAGGTAGGCTTAGATCTTTGATGGACATTAAACACCGCGTTGTAGTATTAATTTATGTAAAACCCTTAAAAACCTGGTGCCACTGAAACTTAAGACCTGTTAAACTCTCTACATGTGAGGGATGCAAGATCTAGTGCCACGTGAACCCTAAATTTGATTAGCGAAGGAGGTTGGCCCGCTCTGGCCGTAGCTCTGGGACTGGCCGTATTCACCCACCTGGCCATAGGAGCCTGGCTGGTTGTAGCCACCAGATGGCCCGTAGCTGTCTTGGTTGTAGCCACCTTGGTTGTAGCTGCTGGACTGCTTCTCCATGGTGTCTGGAGCGTGCCGCTGGCCCGAGGAATGCCAGCCTGTCTCCTTAAACACAAACCAAATGTTGCCCGCCCAGAGGATAAAGTTCAAGAAGCCAAAGACCTGGGTGGGGAGAAGAGGAGCTCGTCACCGGCAGCCGTGGTCTCACAGCCCAACCCAACGTTATCGACCCTGCATGGTCCTGGAGGAAGTCAAAGCTTCTCCCAGTCCAGCCTTCTCGCAAAACCTGCTGGAAAGTTTTCTCAGCTTTGGAGAAAACTCCCAAATTCACCTCCTTCAGCTGTAGCTCACAAGGTGTCTGTTTTCCTTTTTGTTTCCAAAGAAAGGTTGAGTTTTTAGACCAAAATAATTTTTTTGTTGTTTGAAAGCATAACCTAGTTTAAAGAAACTGTGGAAAGATAAAACTGAAAGAATATATTTAAAAAGAGAGACATTAATTGCTCCACTGGCCTGAAATAATTGGGGGTGGGTGGCTGTGTTAAACGTTCTGAAGACCAATTTTATGTTGGTTTTTTTGAGGATTTTTAAAGGCATCTGTAAGGCACAAAACCTTTTCTTCCTACAGGAGCACACAGACCCCTTTTCAAAAGCATTGCAGCTGAGGCAAGTTAAAAGCAGACAGGCCAGCCAATGTAGGTCAATACAAGGGTAAAAGAGATGAAAATGCGTTTGCAAGGTAAGGGTGAAATGTAGTAATCAAAGTCACTTACAACCGAAGTGTTGAGGCCCGCAGCAAGACTGTGCTTCCAATTAAATAATTTCAGCAAACTGGTTTACACCAGCCAATGTAGGTCAATACAAGGGTAAAAGAGATGAAAATGCGTTTGCAAGGTAAGGGTGAAATGTAGTAATCAAAGTCACTTACAACCGAAGTGTTGAGGCTTGACATAACAGGGCTGCGAACAGGCAAGCATTTGTTGGACTGCTGTTTGCAGGCAGACATCAATAATAGCACTTCGTCCGGGTCGGTCGCAATCTTTACATCCGACAGTCCTTTAGCCCAGGCAGATGAGCCCACTAGCCACAAGAATGAGAAGACCACTGTCACAATGAAATCCTAAAAGACAAATTAGTTAGAAGCATTATACTGGTGTGTCCGTTGGGAGGAAAAAATATTAAAAGTCACCAGAAAAACTGAAAGTTTGCATCAGAGGGGAGAAAAAACCAAGAGCTTGTTATTTCATGGAAGGTTGTGATTTCTGTCATCACCTGCAGAGCTAATTTTCAGGAGTGCTTGATGGGCCTAACGGGGCAGAGCCCTTCGGCTGCCATTTGCATGTCCGACCCCGGGGCCAGATTCCCACAAGCATGTGGCTGGTACCCAGGATGCTGAGCTGCCTTGGAAATCTCGCCACTCAGGGCACCTGGCTGATGAATTGGGATCAATTAATAAACTATAGATGCCTGGAAAGGAGCTGGGCCCTCCTGAGGGCTGGCTCTCGCCCCAGGTGCTCCTACAGACAGCCGGGGTGGGTTTCCGACAGGAAGCGTTTCCATCTGCAGCAGCACCTTCGGGAGAACCTGGAACTGGCTAATCCTCAGCTACCAGATGAGGAGCTTTCTCACCAGCTACAGGTAAGGCCAAATGTCCCTGCTCTGCACGAGCCGTGCAGCTGCTAATTATCACAAGCGAACAAATAAACAGCGAGGCTTGCCAAGCACAGAGACTCCTCAGCTCCTCTCTGGCCCGGTAAAGCATTTGCTCCTAATTCCCATCCACGTGAAAAGAGGGGAGAAGGGGTGGTGGTCCCTCCAGGATCCAGCACCTCTGAGCAGCTCTGCTCTGAACCACTCTGCTCACTTTTTCCTCGAAAGACTCTCAGGAGCACACACAGGCATAAACTTCTCCTTGTCTTAGCCAGAACAAGTGGCCAAGTGACACTGTTGTTGTGTGGGTTTGGGGGGAAAGGAGGGAGGAGGTGTGATTTTTCAAGCTTTCTTGTGTCTTGCTAAAACAGAAGAGCCTTTCTGCTGTCATATTTCATCCCATCTGTCAGCCCACAACAGATGGTAGAGGTGCCAAAGTCTAACATACCACTAACTGCATTGCTGTGTCTTGATATCCCACCTCCCATGGGGGCTGCTTCCCCTTCCCCCTTACAAAGTAAAGGTGTACATAGGAGGAAGAGAAAACGTTCATTAAGAACACAGCATTTCAGGTTGCTATCCAAAGAAATAAGTGATCCCTGGGAAACGTCATTCTCCTCTTCTACAAGCACACCTGACATTTGGGGAAGGAGCCCTCTGCGCACCGCAGGGACAGAGGATGCGAGCTTCTTCCACGACGGAAGATGCACCAGTCAATAAACCAGCCACACAAGCGAGCCATGAACAAAGCATTTCTCCGCTCACGCAGATGGGATTAAATTAACTGTGCCTGGATGCCTTCCCAAAGGATACATCCTTCTCTCTTAACAGTGCCACAATTTGTTTTCTGCAGGCCCGTGTCTGCCGCTGAGCTTTGAGTTCCTCTGACCCCCCTTCACGCTGGCCAAACAGGCTTTCTTCAAGAGCGTGAAGCCCAGGAGCTGACAACTGTCTTAACACACAAAGAGAGTCCGGGTAGGCAGAGGCATATAGCCCAGAGGAATTTTTCCTCTCAGGGAGATTTCCAGCAAAAGAAATTATTGTATCTTTTATGTCTTAGCAGTAACTGAATGAGAAATGGACTCCTAGAGGCAACAGTTCAATTGCAAACATTTCCTAAAATTTCCAGCTGGTAGAAACACCAGATATTCACTGAGCTATGGAAGATGATGGGATATGGTCTTTATTTACTACGAGGCTTGACAAGTTATCTACCTGGATGCCAAGCCCCCGTAGAGGTCCTGATTGACACACTAGACTGGGACACACTGGAATTTTGGGGAATGCATTTTTTGAATGACAAGCAATTCTCTCTCAATGCCACCACACTATTCGAAGTCACAAGTTAAGTCAAGCTCTGCAATCAGTGCATCGCCAGTAACAAGAACATAAATACATACCAGCAGACAGAAATCTGAAGCAGAGACAAATTGACCAAAACTAATACAACGTAGGAGCTTGAACTTGCTAAAAAGAGGAAAGTTTTAAAAGTGAGCAAAGTTCTTCAAGCAGGTGACAGCAGCAGGGGTTCAGACCTGCTGTTGATCTTGCAGATCCTGACCCCATGCTGGGGAGGCATTTGCACAGCTCCCGGCACCAGTGACTGCAATCTGCAAGAGCCCCTCACACTTACTTGCCAGTAGCTCATGTCTTGGGCTATAAAGTACCACTAGGAACAACCAATAGTACTGTGCAGTTGAGGGGCTGCTCTTAAAGGGACTAAGTATTTTGTGTAATTTCTCAGGTCTTGTCTTCTCCATCTCAGCCCATCCTCCTGCCTTCTGCTGACTTCCTCTGCTCCCCTGCACCAGGGTGACCGTACAAGCCTGACCCTGCCAGATCCCACCCTCTCTGCCTCTAATTCCCCTATCTGAGAGCAGATCAGGGCCTTGGGAAAAGGGTCTCCCCACTCTTGGGGGGCTGGGATCAATCCTTTTATACACGAACTCCCCAAAACGGTAAAGTCTGGCTTTACAGAAATGCACCAAGCCAAAAGGGAAAGATTGCACAGTAGGACTCGGAGAAGAACCCACCCAAACCCCTCCACCAGCCGGAGGACACGACCGCTCCCAAAAACAAGCCAACAGCTTGTCAAGATGACAGGACAAAAAGGCTAATGAAACATGAGGGGTTTTTTCAGCTGGGCTTGGGGTCTTGCAGGATTTGTTCCGTCTTCTCCGCACTGTGCAAGGAGCCAAACATACGATCAGAGCAAACTTGCGTCTTCCTATTTATTTTGAATCTTTGCTAACCTTCAGCTTTGGCTGGAACTTGAACCTCTCTTGTTTTCAAGTGGGTTTGGATTTCTGGCTGAACATTTTCACAGCTCTGGGTGGAACAGAGTTACAAGATAATGACATGCTGAAAATAAAAGTGAATTTCAAGCTAAGCTGTTCTGGAGCTTAATGTCTATCTGGGGAATTTCTCCTTGGTAATTAAAGCCAGAGTGTCTGCATACTAAAACAAATCTTGCATTTGAATGTTTAATATCCCCATAGCATGGGCAATTTTTTATTTTTTTTCCTTTGGAACAAAGCAATTTTTGTAGTTGCTCTCTTGAAATGGTGTCTACAGATCTCCTCAGTGTGTATTGTTGTACGGCTACGCTATACTCCTAATTGCAAAGTTTCTTTCTCAGATCTCAGCTGAGATACTTTGGTCTGCCTACAGGTGCCTTTGGGAAGGAGGCAAAATAGGAACGTGTAGGAGAAAGCAGAAAACAAGATTTAAAATATGCTGAATATCCAAGGAGGGAGTTTTTAAGAGCCTGAAGTATGTGTAACAAAAAAAAAAATTCTTGCTGCCTTTTTCAAGTTGAAACTTGCTATTACTGAGTATGCCAAAAATGCCTGCTTAGAACAATTTTATGTATTATATGTTTTAGAATAGAACTGTGAATGTGCCTTTTCTTTTCATGGCAACTGAAACATTTCTCCTTGCTATCAAGCTACTGGCTTTTGCAAAACGCCCGTCTTCGGAGGCGGCAGTTGCTTAAGTCTCCTGAGCACAGTTTCGAACCCCCCGGTGTCCAACACAATCTCACCCAGCCAAAAGCATCTGCAGAAGCTGCTCATTTGCTCAGAAAGGGGATGTGCTTCACCTGCTCCAAGCCGGTTGGTGGCTTCAGCAACCCCTGGAGCTCTGTAACACACATGTCCCTGCGTGCTCTCCGTGCCCTGCTCTCCCTGCCAGCCAGCGTGGTCCAAGTTTGGCATCACAGCCCTGAGCTGTTCTGTTTGAACACATACAAACCCTCTGCTCTGGCCTGGCCGGAGGGCACCTGGCATCCCTGCCACGCTCGTGCTTCCTTCTCCCTCACCGAACCGCAGCTGCTGGCCCTGTAACTTCCAGTGCCTCTCCACAAGCGTTCCCATCCGCTAACCCTCATGCTACAAGACCTTTTCATTTGACAAAACCCTCTCATACATTTACAGCATACAAGGGAGCAACTCCTCAAATGCCAAAGCCTATAAACCATCCCAGCCAGAGCGTGCCTGGCCCGGTGGCACTGCCAACAGGTTTCAGGAGCAGAGGGAGATTTCCTTACCCCTGGAGGGGCAAACCTCTCAAAGGATTTGCTTTCACAGTCACAACGGACCTAAAAACCCAAGAGCCACCCCAGTGAGAGCCATAGCCCTGGCCCCAGCCCAGGGAAGTGGCCAACAGGAGGTCGCTGCAGGCAGCAAACACCTTCCTACAGTGGCATTTTAGCTCTTTTTTTTTTCCCCTGTGAACAAGTTCCCACCCCAGATTTTCTGCTGAATGAAGCTTTGAAACAATTACACACTTCTTGCAACGGTGTATGACCTTGTGAGCTTGCTTCTGGTAGGGATGTGCAGAACCCTTTGGGAGGCACCAGCACGTACAGCAAGGTCACTGTGGCTTGTGTTTCAAAAAGGAGATGACAGAAGCGGGCTGAAACAGCTTTTTGAAATGCAAAGAATTATTCAGGTTATTCATAATTTCATTTTTTAACTGCAAAGGATTCAGTCTTTGTTTTTACAGATGGCTCTCTATTCTTTTCCTCTCTATTTTCTAGAAAGCAGGACAAAGGGGAAGAACTAAAACACGTTTAATCACAGACATTGCCAAAGAGCAGACGAGGAGTGTACTTAACTCACTTGGTCTGCAACATATGTAAAGAACCAAGTGCCTTCCTGCTTAATGAGATTATTCACAGGACCCCAGATGCAAAGGAAAGATCTCATCTTCTTACATGTAAGCATCTTTATGCACGTAAGAATGAGATTATCAAGTAATCACTATAAAATGAAAGCTCTCTTTCCAGGGCTATGTCAGTCACTTTTCTTGGCTAAATAATTTTATGCTTTTATATTGATTGGAATACTAAAGTGATTTTCATTTGTACATGAATGCATGTGGTTTTTCACGGCCTATCTATGACTTCCCAAAGACAAACCTGAAGGCACGTAAAGACAGAGTTTTCAGTGTGGGTTTTAAATGGAGTGCATATGGTGTATAGAAACTATGGAAAAAGCAAGCGTCTGAGTGATGGGTATGGATTCACATTGGCTGTGACTATTCTTTCCTTTATTCTCCCACTCCAGAGATAGATGGAAGCCTCTACCCCGATCCCCTAAAACTTCATCACAGGACTCTGCTGGGTTGGTTACTCTCTGCTTCCAAGCAGCCGCAAACCTATAGATCTGAAGCAGGGCATCAAGGCAGAGGTGCTTGGGGCGGCAGTCCCAGGGTGCAGCTCATCGCTGCTCTCGTTGCAAACCAGCAATGCCTCCCCAAGGTACAGGGTGGTACACAAGTGAAAAATCAGCTTAGGTTAGGCTTAGAGATGCAGATATACTGAAAACTGGTGAGGTTTTGTACATTGCATTCATTAAAATCTAAGTCACCATCTCCAAATAACTTCTTTAAAATGTTTCTGGCTCCCGACCCCTAATTAATCATTCGAGAAACTGGCTTGTACTTGTAAGCACCCAGGCGAGCCCCCAGCTCCTCGCTGCACACATGCATCGGGTGGGAGTTTGCAACGAAATTAAAATCACAGCTGTGGTTTGCAGGGCTCAGAAACACATGGCACATATCTATTAGGTGTTTCATCCCTGGCAAACTGCTCCGTGTTCCTTATGAACTGGGAATCCCAGGTCCTCTCTTAGGTTCATCTGTCTAGTCTGAACCCCCCCAGATGGTCTCTCCATGGAGCCACTGAGGCAAGTGGAGGGCACACACTGCAAGGGCTCGCTGCCGACAGCCCCGTGCGAAGGGGGACTCCCACCCTCCAATAACAAACAAATAACACAACCAGGGACCTGTGCGGCCAAAAGGAAGAATTTTATCCCCCAAACCTGACAGGCAACATTAGCGGGTGACATGGCTCACTGCACAGTGAATAAAACACACCAGTGCCATCCAAACAGCCATGGAAGGAGTTAACGGCTTCTCCTACTGGAAATATTTCCTTGCCATGTTGTCTCACTTCACGCTGAACGTTAAAATATTTTTCCACAGTTAAAGTGATGCTTCGCTGAGATCTCAGCACATGCAGTTGGGTTTCCCTATATTTGTATAAACAAGGTAAACTTAAAACATGCGTGACTGAAATTTTCTCTGAGAGTTTCTCGTGACTTAGTGGCCATTAAATTATTTATAATCATATATTCTGCATCCAGGCAGGCCACTGCAACTGGGTAATGCTTTGATGGTGCTTTGACTGCCTGTGCAAGGGTTTTTTTAAAAAAAATATTTTAAAATTTCAAGTGAAAGTAGTTTTTTCCTCTCCCCACTTCTCCTGTCATACTCCTTTTTCAAATCCTGAAAATTTGTTAGGAGGAAAGGCAGCCAGCTCCATGAGGGTGCCACTTAAAGGCAGATGTCACCCCAGACTGAGCAAATACCAAGCCAAGAGGAAGTACAGGGCTTAAAACGGGAATGGTTTTAAATACAAAATTGTGATCAGGCACTGCAGCAGAAGCAAGGACAGATGAAACCACCACCTTCTAACGCTTCACTAAGAGGTAAAAAACTGGTCGTCTGGAAACAGTGCCCGAGAGGCGGATCCTGCCTGGTGGCGACGGAGTGAGGGCTGCCCTGCCTCCTGCACCGGCACGTGCGGGGGGCTGCCGGCTGGACTCGGGTGCACCTCAGGTTTCTGCAGCACTTTTCTTTGGGAGCAACAATCTCAGGGATGAGACACACTCACACATCTGATCTACATGTGATCTTGCTGGGTACGACAGTTCAGTGTAGCACCTGCTGGGAGCTGGAGGATGCGTCGCCTGCCTCCTTTGGCACAACGCGTTACACCCCTTAGGTGAGCCCTGCAGCCGTGGGAAGCTGGTTTTCACCCTGAGTTTCCCTTGAAGTCCTGCTTGCTTTTTCTCTGCCTGGGTCTCTGAATCATTGTACTGGGCAGCCTCTGGGGAGACCAGCAAGGATGTGGCCCATGTGAAAAAGGGTGTTTTTTTTAAAAATACCCAACACAACAGAGCTGGCAGTGCAAAGGAGATGCTGGGGCATGTGGCTGGGGCAGATGGGACTCCCCTCCTGGCAGGCATAAGCTGAGCCTAACCCTCAGCCACTTCCCAGCACCGCCCACCAGCAGGAGCTGCTTTTGCTGTAGGACAAACTCAGAAGCATCTTTATATTCTGAAGAAATAAGGTAATTTAGGCTTGGTTTAAAGACTGGGAAATTGCAAACAGAGGCTTTGGTAACAGACTTTTAACCAGTTAAATTTAACCTGTAGATTCAATTACAATCCATTACACAGAACAAATTAAATCAATGCCACATTAATGCCGTAGCGGATTGCACCGGACATCCTGTGACAACACGACTACAGCAGCTGTATCAGGAAAGTCGTGGACAGCAGCAAACGGCCACATCATAATCTGACATATTAGTATTAATTTTTCTTCTCTTTGCTTTTTATATTGCTACACAAGATAATGTAGTTGGTCAGAAGAATTATTTTCTGCAAGAAAATTAAAATGGCAGATCTCTGCAACTAACTCTTTGATGAGACAGTTTGAAATGAGATATTACTTGATATCATCTGAATCAAGCAGAAGCAAGGCACTTTAACTATTTACTGTTTCTGTAGGGACTCCTTTATCTTGCCTGTTCTACCTCTCCTCTGTGAAGATCTCCCCTCCTCTCTTTACCGTTTTTCTAGGGAGAGAGGAAAAGTCCCAACAACCCCCAAATGAAGAGGATTAATTTCCTTTGATGTGGAATGAGAATTTTTCCTTCTGTAACAATCCATCAGTTTTGAGTTACGCAAACTTAAATAAAACAACTCACATCTCTTTGCAGCAGGAAAATTTTTCCCTCAAAACCCCGTCATGCTAAGATTACCTTCCTACGGTTTAATCTCTTGCTTACTGCTACTGTAGATATTTCCTTTAACAGGAACAGCCTTCCTGTGTTGGTGATTTATTTTCCTTTCTGTTATATTTTTCTGATGGCTTTCAGTCACTTAAGGCACAAGTCTCAGCCAAATATCTGGTTTCCGTCAGTCAAACTTCAGAGTTTTCTGAAATCCGGAACTAACTCTTTCCTTACGTCGGTCCTCACTAATCTCCCCCCGCCTTCCCTTGGAATTGCTCTCTTCATACCAAGACTTCAGGGAAATATTTCCTCTACGTTAGTGTACCTTTATCCTTGCGATCATGGAGGAGAGGTTTAACCGTGGAAGGGAGAGCGTGCAGCGACCCTACAGCCCACAAATGCAGAGACCTGACCCAACTTCAGCACAGTGGTGGATCAGCACACAGCCCTTGGCAGCCCGGCAAGACCAAGGGGTTTATCACGGGGCGTGATGCACTGACAGGTAACGGACACCTAGAACAAAATAGCTCTCGCTGGCTTTATGGCCTTGATTTATGAGAAAACCAGTGCACAGCAGCACTTGCTTTTTATCACAAGCCTTCAGGAATCAGTAAAAAGAAAAATAAAGGCACAAACAGACACAGCTTGGTGGGTGCATGGAATGATAACTGGAAGGCGAGGAGCCTCATAAACCAGTGGAGACACAATGTGCTGGGAGCTCAGGGGAATACTGGAAAACCAGTCACATAATTCTCCAAAGCAAAATCATTTGGCTGAGCCCAGCAGCAATTAGCAATAAGCAATCTCCCCCAGCTAGGCTTTGCTCCGGGGCTTGGTTTCATTTGTCTGCTAGCATGATGCCTAAGATCTCCTCTTCCCTTTTTCCCCCACCGATGAAGCTCTGCTGTCAGAGGCACGTGGCTCAGACCCCAGTCCTGCAACCACCCAGCTACACGTTCATTATTTGTGTGCACATCACCGCTGCAGGCAGCGGGAGAGAAGTGGGGAATCCCACAAGTACGTACAAGACTGGGACTATGCTCCACCCACAAATAGTCTCCGTTACCCTTGGTCTTGAAAGTTTAAATCACCATTAAGATATAGAAACAGGTGAATGCAGAGATGCTTTGGGCATTGGGCCACTGGGATCTCTCAGACCATGCCACAGCCTCAACCACCAAAAAAGCAAGAGGTTAAGACCGACGTCTGAAAATGCTGCAAAAGCACACTTACAATTAGAGGCCCTCTGTTGTTTTCACGGTACTTGTTCTGGAAGAAGATATAAACCACGGTGGCAGCCAGTGAGTAGAGGAAGGCGAAGACTGCAATGGTGACGAAGAACTCTGCCGAAGAGGAGAAGTCCCCTATCAAGGAGAGCTTTTCTCGGCGCTTGCCTTCACAAGTGGGAACATCGAAATTCACTTGATACAACCTGGAAAACATCCCAGAAAGCAGCAGGTGAAGTACAGAAAAAGGAAACCATTACCTGAATAAAGATATAAATACATCTGCTCTGACTCCCCATCTCATTCCTGATGCACCTTCATCCCCTGCTTGAATAACTGGCTCTGTAAGTAGTCTTGTGGGCTGTGCTCTTTGGAGCTGCTCATACATGTGAGATTACTTCCATGTGAGCGTCTAGGTGAGACTGAGGACCTGAACACATCTTTTAATCCATCTCAGAGAGAAGTTGATGTTCCAATGGCTTGGTACACCCCCCAGCCCCCGGCTTCCTCTCCAAGGTTTTGCCATGGCAACAACTGAAAAAGGATAACATGAGAAACAGTTTGATTCTCGAATTCTTACAATCAAGGTGCCAGAAAACAGGTCTTATCCTCTATATTAAGGCCATGGGATACCTCTATTTGGAAGCTCATAACTTCCTTATGTAAAACAGCTTTAGTGCACAGCTACCCGTGGCTGTTAGCCCATGTGGCTGTGAGCCATATAGTGCCTCTATGTTAAAAGCTTTTAAAACCAAGCTGCAGCAGAAATAGAGAACTTGGGTCAAAGAAACAGTCTGTGTGCTCTGGTTTAAGCAATCAAAGCCCTAACCTTGTACTCACGCAGTCAGCGACTGAGCCAATAGATTTGAGGTTCTCTCTGGCAGCTCCTACCAGACACTTCTTCACTCTAATAATTTTAGTTTCTGATTCAGAAAGAGAAAGGGGGTCCTTGGAGGGAGTACTTTGGCTGGTCCTGTTGCATGGCCCAGATTAGCATCAGTGGGGACACAGGATCACGCTGGTTTGGCTCTGCACAGGGAGAGCAAGCAGAGGGGACGAAGCCAGCAGCAAGTTAACAGCAGCAATTAAAGAAGTTACGATCTGGTGCAGAGAAAGGATGAGGCCTTCTGGGAGACGTTCCTCTGCTCAAGGGCAATTAATGTGTGCAGCAGCGAGCCAACAGCGGCAGCAGTCATGAATATATGACTAAATAAAGTTAGGTCCCCAGAGGAAAACAAAGTACCCGCAGTAGAAATCACAGAAGATGGATTAATGGACATTGGAGGATTGCATGACTTTTTGCTTTCCCTGGTCCAAACTAAACGTACCCGAACGTGTAGGCAGAACCTTTTCATCAGTGGTTGATGCATAACGCTGGTTATTTGCCTCAGGCATTTTCTTCCCTGAGCTTCTGTCACTATAGTAGTGGTGGGATGAAAACAAGAAATGCGTCTGCCTGGATTGTGGAGATGAGCAGCGGCTGACTCGCCTCC